CCCAACCTTCCTTCCGAGGAGTGGCTGGTGGGTTTGAACCGCCAGCCGTCTGGTTAGCAGGCAAGTGTCTTAGCCACTATGCTACCACAGCCCCTTCTATGCCTAATATTAGGGCCCCAAAATTTGCCCCTAGTTTTTATTCCTCCATCTTACTGGAAGTCAGTTTCAGATAGTTTTATATTGATTACTGCTTTTTAAAATTGTTAATTGGCATACGTGCTACAGGCAGTCCATGGATTATGATGAAAAGTTCCATTCCTAACTCTGTCTTTAAGTTGAATTTGTATATACGTTGGGACAAACTGTATAATTTATATCTAATATCAGTTAGTCAAGTGTTTTTCTTAATATATAGTAAATAGTGTATCTTCCTATGCATAAACTACATTAAACATGTCTGGATACACTAAAACGTCTTCAACATGCTGTAGTTGTTACGTGCCGTCAAGTTGGACCTGACTCACAGCGATTCCTCCTTGGGTTTCTGAGGCAGTATCACTATAGAAGTAGATTGCCCCATCTTCCTTCTGAGGAGTGGCTGGTGGGTTTGAACCGCCAGCCTGCCGGTTAGCAGTCAAGTGCCTTAGGCAGTACGCTAACAGAGCTCCTATCTTCAACATAGTAATACAATAATAATAATAATAATAATACTATTTTGATGCACATTGCAAAGTAGCATCTACTTGTTATTACAAACCAAATTTTTAATGTAATAGGCTCTATGGGGGTTGGTTAATAACTATAGGTTGTATGTCAGTTGGACATTCATAACTCAGGGACTGACTGTATTTCAAATTCATACTCAGCAAAGTCTGATATTTTTAATACATCTCAAGGAAGAAGGTTACAAACTTGTTGATTCACATATGAAAGAAATTTTATATTTTATGGAAATTAATATTTTCAGAACTTCTTTAATTTTCTCAGTGTGCTAGAAAGGGTCTTTTTCTGAAGATAAAATGTCTTCATATAGTAGCTAGTCTTACTCACCATCAAGTAGAAAAAAATATGCTCATTAGTTCCAAAATTTCAGTGATTTCAATATGTATGAATAAAACACTTGAAAATCAATGAAATGTTACCTTTTATAATAGTTAAACCTTCTTGTTAAGTATAGGGTGTTTTTCTGTTCTGTGGCTTATGAAAATAATTATCTTTTGTATTATACTTCCTTACATGAAATCTTTTCTGTTCTGTAGACAGTGTTTTGGATTATAAAATACTTAGCAAAGAAGAAATAATAATTAAGCATTTTATTTCTTTATAGACTAATGGAAAAAAATGGATTAAGTTTTTATTTCTTCTAGTCTGTTAGAATAATCATAATTATTTGAATTTATTCCATTTGTGAGAAACCACATTGTCTTTATGTGAATAATTCAAATTTGAGAAATTTGAGTGTTTAATATATGTAGATCTTGACATAATTAAAAATTAAAAGGTTCAGTGTTAAGGTAGCCATGTAACTATGCTTGAAGCAATATAAACACTTTTGTGCAGCAAAAATGTTTTTAAAATAAAGAATGCTTTTTTACTCTTCAGTGGATGGAAGAATTTAAAAATGATATGCTAACTGAGAAAGACACAAGATACCTCACTGTTAAGGAAGTGGTTTCTCATCTAATTGCATGTAATAAAGATATCCCGGGGATTTCTGAGATCAATTGGGTTATTCATGTGGTTGATGCTCCAGATGTAAATGCTTTTGTACTTCCAGTAAGTAAATGTTCTCAAACTAATTTTATTGTTAAATTTAATGTCCTTATTCTTTTTTTTATGATGTTCTAATTGCTTACATTATTTTCTTTATGGTGCAGAATGGACAAATGTTTATTTTCACTGGGCTTTTAAATAGTGTAACTGATATTCATCAACTTTCCTTCCTTCTTGGCCATGAAATAGCTCATGCAGTACTTGGGCATGCTGTAAGTACCTAAAATAAGTATTCAGTTGTTGAAATAATGTTTTGAAGTTAGCAAGTTAAATCTTTTAAATAACTCAGTCATTTCAGATTTCTTTTTTTCTTTTAAATGATGGAAATTTAGTTTTTAGAAATGGCCTTATTCCATTACCTAAAATAATGAGATTGGCCAGTGTTGAGAATTTTTATGATCTTTATTATTTCATACAGAATAATTAGTATTTATTTCTCTTATATATTATTTTTATTACTTGTCTCTTGCTAAGGAGTAATTATTCTCAACCTCTAATTATTTCAGATTAGATTTTAAATTTTCCGTAATTATTGATACACTTGTAATATAGTGAGAAAATTAACTGTAAGAAAGTGATACTACTATTTGAGTAAATCAGTTTACCTGCCTTTTTATTCATTCTCAAGGATAGCTTGGAAGTTCTTTGAAAATGTCTGTAGAGTGATGTGCCATATATAATTAATGCAGAGTAATAATGATACTTTCCATTTTACATTTTACTGAGATTTTTAATATGTATATCCTCATTCATAATTTTAATCCCAACCTTATAAGGTATGTAGTTGTTATTCCTCTTTTACATAAATGCTTTAAGTAACATGACCAATGTGACATAGTGGCAGAATTGGGACTTAAACCCAGCTGTTCTGTATGCAAGTCCAGTGTGTCTTTTACCACATTTACCTGATTGTTGGCATCACTTTTCTTTCTATTCTATATAATAGAATATAGGATGGCCTGTGAATACACATCTGTTTGACTTGGTACGGGTTCAGGAAAGCAGCATGTATATGTTTAGCAAGAACACTGATATACTCACTTAAGTAGTAATATTGCTTTCTTACAATTAATTTTCCTAGATTGTTTTTCTTGTTCATTAAAAAAATATGAATGGTTCTTATGTCTCCTTAATTAGAAATCTATTTTTTTAATTGAAAACATGACAGTAAATAATGAAGAGATTATGAAATACTATATCAGAAATGGAAATAATATTAACTCTAAATGGAAATGATAATGGTAATCATCTCTGAAAATCATCTCAAGTTCTATTCCTTAGAGCATTAATAAGATGAGATGGGCCAAAGCTGTGCTTTTCTGAAGCACAAATAGTAATTATCCTCTTTATTTCTTGAGTTACAAGGAAATTTAAAATATAATTTTCTTAATATAAGAACATATCTAAGCAATTGAGATAAAGTAATTATACTCACTCTAATATCTTTCAAGTAATGGTTTCGTAACTGTGATTTCAGCCATTTTAGCATTCAAAATAACATTACTGTTTTGTACATTTGTTTTTCTGTCCTCTAGTTCAGCACCTTATATTCAGCATATTGTTGTCATCTCACCAGTATAAGATCAATAATTAGATGAGCCATGAAAAGAAAATAAGTCGGAAAAATAGAAGATAGTTATTAATATTTCTTCGGCATGGGTCTTAGACATTATCAACACAATTTAATTACTTTGTCTTTTATGTTTTTTTCTTTATTCCAGAAGTACACATATATTTTGTGTGCTTATTTCTAATTTCTAAAACTGTATAATAGCAATTATATTCTTTAACAGTTAGTAACAAGGGTTTGCTCTTCTATAATGATGTCATTATTTTAGTTTCAGCCTTTTAGGCTAAAAATTCCATAATTGTTTTTCATGACATACAGTTCTTATAATAAGGAAAAATATGTTTCATGGGCAGATTATATTGTTAAAAGTATTTTAGATTTATTTTTAGCCTTTAGCCATTTCATACATTCAGGTAATAACTGCTATATTATTAGTATCAGTATTGTGGTAACATTTATTAATCAACTTTAATGACAACAATGAACAATTCAGTGAATTAAACTTGATATATTTATTACTACTAAAAATGATTATTTTAAATAAAAGCTTTTTGGTTGCTGTATTTATAAGTACATACAAAAATTCATAGGTCCTGATTCTCTGCTATAAAATACTAACTGGCATAAATGAATCATACTCCTGTGTATTACATCCAGTTGGATCCAATTCATAGTGACCCCTCCTTGGGTTTTCGAGGTGGCATCACTACGGAAGTAGATTGCCCAGCCTTCTCCTGGTTAGCAGTCAAATGCCTTAGGCACTACCCTACCAGAGCTCCCGTGAGTATATTGTTGTTGTTGTTATGTGCCCTCCAGTCAGACCCGACTCATAGTGACCCCTCCTTGGGTTTCCGAGGCAGTATCACTATGGAAGTAGATTGCCCAGCCTTCCTTCTGAGGAATGGTTGGTGGGTTTAAACCAGCAGCCTTCTTGTTAGCAGTCAAGTGCCTTAGCACTATGCTACCAGAGCTCCTACCCCACGAGTATAATAAATAAACACGTTTATTTGATTTTGATAAAGGTATGGCAACTATATTAGAAATTAGAATTGCTTAAGTTTGATTTCTGGGCCTTTTACAAGTGGCTGTGTGAATTTGTGCAGCTCTTAATATCTGTCTATCTCAGTTTTGTTATCTGTAAAATAGAGATAATTGTACTTATTTCACAAGACTGGGATATTTGTTAGAATAAGAAACTGTGGGTAAATGAACCTGTCATTATATCATGACTAATAGGGGTTGCTATGAGTCGGGTTCGACTCAAGGGTACATAACAACAACAACAACATAGTAAGCAGCTCAATAAATGTTAGTTAAATGAATGCATGTAAGTATGTAAGCAGGGGAAGGGAAAACACCATGAAAGGATAACATATAGAAAAAAAGGAAAGCTTTCAGAATGTAGATCAGTTAAACATATGTAATTATTGTGATTACATTTGATGAACTAGAAAATGTGAGCATAAACTGTCTAAATTTATTAAATTTAATTTTCATTCCTTTTTTTATTCTCAGGCAGAAAAGGCTAGCATGATTCATTTGTTGGACCTCCTAGGTCTGATTTTTCTCACAATGATTTGGGCCATTTGTCCTCGAGATAGTTTGGCACTTTTGGGCCAGTGGATACAGTCTAAATTGCAAGAGGTAAGTCAGAGACAATAACTTGAATGCTGAGGTTATTTTAATATTACTGTCAATCAACAAATAACCAGAAATATTTTCACATTTTAGCATGAAATATTGGTACTAATTTTTAGTGTCTTATCTCATTTTCAGGAGATGTTCTTATATATGAGCATTTAAATTAAGAAATACTACATCTCTCAAATAGTAGATATTGATGTGTTAGAGGGCTTGCAGCTTTTGGTTAATATAATTTTTTTGGGGGGGCATAGTTTAGTTTTACTGGGAGAAAACCTAGTTATTAACCCTTCCTTTCCTTCTGTCACTCTACCTTCCTACTTTCCACTTATGTTTATTATAGTGACTGTGCTGTACTAACTGAATGAACTCTCCTTCCCTAAAATATTTTTATTTTGACAGGGAACTCTTACACCTGTAAACTTTTATGGATACAAAGTTGGCTGAAGCTGTGTTACCACTGTCTTCTCTTTCTGTTTCTTTTTTTCAGTGTTAGTCCCATTAAACCAGCACTGCGTGGAAACTATTCAGTGGGCACGTTTTTCTTAACTTTTGTTTTTAGTGCTTTTGTATGATAATCATCTTATAAAATCTATTGAATCTCTCATTTTGTTCAAAATACTGCACTATTGAAAGTAGGTCTTGCAATCTTAATAGTTGCTTTGTTAACTGTGATGGATTATTTTATATCTTACTTCAGATATTTCCACTTGTCCTGAGAGGTTTGGTTATTTAGGAACAGTCTGTTATTTGTTAATTTAATGATTTTTGGAGCACCCATCTGAGTACCATCTGGGTGCTGTTTAAATCTAATGTGCAAAATTCTTTCAGACAAATTGCTTTTGAAATTGGATAACTAAGTCTTTTATTCACTGTTGTCATATCATTTGGCTTCATTTATATTGAAGTAAAGATTCTTAAAGGGAAAAAGAAAGAATAGTTACTGCTTAAGCTATAACCAAAACTCATTCCCTTGGAGCAGCTGGTGGGTTTGAACTACCATCCTTTAGGTTAGCAGCCAAGCATTTAATCAATGTGCCCTCAGGGCTCCTGCTTAGGTTATAGGATCTCATATTTTGAATTTTTTTTTCTGCCACTGACCTGCTGAGAGGTCAAAGGAGTTAATGTAATCTTTTTTCCATCTACCAATAGATTTCTTTTTCTGTAATTGAATCACATTTGGTTATAAGAAAGATAACTTGAACCTCTTTTTCATCTTGAAATATTTGATGAATCCTGCCACTTTAGTGTAATTATTCAGTTTAATAATAAACTGAAAATAAAGTAAGAATTACTCTTGTTTGAATTCTTTCTCTAAAAATCAAGCCTCCCGCCCAATAAATTTGGTGACAAGAAGCTGTTTTTCTATCTAGAAGGCCTTGCTCACTGTGATTGGATGGCAGAAGAGAATTCTGATTGTGAAATGAACAGGGAAGGGAATTGCTGACAGTCATTTGTCAGAGGAGGGAAGAAGATACAGTAGTTACACCATTGGGGGTTGTTATTTTTGTAATCTTAAAAATTTGGATATAATGTAGCAGCCCTCCTACAGCTCTAACTGGTAAGGTTTTGAGAGCTATTAGTAATAGCTAACATTTAGAAGGAGCTCTGGTGGTGCAGTGCCTAAGGCATTTGACTGATTACCAGATGATTGGTGGTTCAAACCTACTGGCTGCTCTGCGGAAGGAAGATAAGGCAGTCTATGTCCATAAAGATTTACTGCCTTGGAAATCCAGTGGAGGTTGAGTGCTTATTATAGGCTGATAAAGCATTTGGCTGCTATCCAAAAGGTTACTGGTTCAAACCCCCAAACTGCTCCATCTGCTTCCATAAAGATTTACAGCCTTGGAAAGTCTATAAGGCAGCTCTACTCTGTCCTAAAGAGTCACTGTGAGTTGCAAGTGACTCCATGATAGTGGGTTTGGTTTGGTGTGGTTACTATATACTAAATGTTAGGATGAACACCATAGATTTATTATGCTCAGAGCTTAAGAGTACAGACTGGTCAGATGGACCTGTGTTGGAATTTACGCTCTTTTAGACTTAAATTTTGTAGAATTGGTTAAGTTATTTTGCCTTGATTGGCTTCATTTTCTTCATCTGTAAAAAAAGGGTAATAATACTGGCTAACTCTGAGTTAGACTGGGTTCTCTAGAGAAACAAAACCAGTAAAGCTTATGTATATATATATATAGAGAGAGAGAAATTAAGCCTTTAGGAAAATGGCTCACACACTTATAGAAGCTGGCAAGTCCAAAGTTCCTGGATCAAACATCAAGCTGGAGGCTTTTCCACGTCAAACTAGAGGCTTTTCCCGACTCTTGCAACCACGGGGGCTGTGGAGCTCAAGGCTGGCAGGCAGCACACCAGCTGTTGACTTCAATGAATGACGAATCCAAGATCTCCAGGCCGAATGGTGGACTGTTCACTCGCCGACAGTAGTAAGCAGCACAACAGAATCCTGATCCACAGAAGAATGTCTCTTTTCCCAGGATGTTCTTGGATATACTGGAAGCAGGCCACACCCCTAGGGAAACTCCCTTTCAACAGATTGCCTGCTCAAACATAATTATCTGATCCCATCATGGGAATAACCACATCACAACACCTTAAACCACACAGAATTGTGGTCCAGCCAAGTTGACACACAGCTCCAACTATCATGTGAACTCAAAGTCATCTTGTAAGGACTAAATGATACTTATAAAGCAGGCTTTTTCAACCTGGCACTATTGATATTTTGAACTGAAGAAATCTTTGCTTTGAGGGAATATGCTTTGCATTGTAGGCTGTTTAGTAGTATCATTGGTCTCTACCCACTTCAGAAAATTACCCAATGATAATTCAAAAATAATTGCAGCAGTACATTGACAAGGAACTGCCAGAAATTTAAGCCAGATTCAGGAGAGGATGTGGAACGAAGGCTATCTTTGCTGATGATAGATGCATAGACTGAAAGCAGAGATACAAGAAAGATGTTTATCTGTGTTTTGTTGCCTGTGCAAGAACATGTAATTCTGTGGATCATAACAAATAATAGATAACATTTTGAAGCATAAAAATGCCAGAACACTTAATTGTGCTCATGTGGAACCTGTATATAGACCAAGAAAGAGGTAGTTGCTCGAACAGAACTATGGGATACTAAACCAAAAAAACCAAACTTAGTACCGTCAAGTCAGTTCTGACTCATAGCAACCCCTCCTTGGGTTTCCAAGGTAGTATCTCTCCAGAAGTAGATTGCCCTGTCTTCCTTCTGAGTAGTGGCTGATAGGTCTGAACCGTCAGCCTTCTGGTTAGCAGTCAAATGCCATAGGCACTAGTAGGTGGTTTAAAATCAGGAAAAGTATGTGTCAGGGTTGTGTGAATCCTTTCGCCATACTTACTCAGTCTGTATGCTGAGTAAATAATCTGAGAAGATGGACTATATGAAGAAAATGGCATCAGGATTGGAGGAAGACTTATTAACAACCTGTGATACGCAGATGACAACCTTGCTGAAAGTGAAAGGACTTGAAACACTGATGAAGATCAAAGACTTACAACCTTCAGTGTAGATTACATTTCAACATAAAGAAAACAAAAATCCTCATAGTTGGACCAATAAGCAACATCATGATAAATGGAAAGAAGATTGACTGTCAAGGATTTAATTTTACTTGTATCCATAATCAATGCTCAGAAGCAACAGTCAGGAAATCAAACAGTGTATTGCATTGGGCAAATCTGCTGTAAAAGACCTCTTTAAAATCTTAAAAAGCAAAGATGTCTCTTTGAAAACTAAGGTTTGCCTAACCAAAGCCATGGTACTTCCAGTCACCTTATATGCATGCAAAAGCTGGACAATGAATAAGGAAGATTGTAGAAAAATGGATGCATTTGAATTGTGATGTTGGTGAAGAATATTGAATATACCATGGAGTGCCAGAGGAATGAACAAATCTGTCTTAGAGGAAGCACTGCTAGAATGCTCCTTAGAATGATAGCAAAACTTTGTCTTACTTTGGACATGTTATCAGGAGGGACCAGTCCATAAAGTAGGGTATCATGCTTGGTAAAGTAGACAGTCAGTGAGAAGGAGGAGGACCCTCAACAAGATGGTTTGACAGAGTGGCAACAACAGCGAACTCTAACGTAGCAGTGATGATGAGGATGGCACAGGACTAGGTGTTTCATTCTGTTGTACACAGGGTTGCTAGCAGTGGGAACTGACTTGATGGCAGCTAACAACAACTATCCGGTGGATGCCGGTAGCCCTCCTCCCCAAGTCATGACAGTCAAAAATGTCTCCAAATGTCTTGTGGGAGACAGAATCACACCCTGTTGAGAACCACTAATTTAAAGCATTTAGCACAGTACCTAGCACAAAGTAAGTGATATGAGTTATTATTGTTGTTTACACATTTAATTCTCTCTGCAAACCTAGTAGTAGGTTGATAATTGTTACTTGTTCCATTTTACATACGAGGCTACTGGGGTTTAGTAGGTTTTAGCAATTAGGTCAGGTTAAAAAGTGTCACTATTTGAAATTGAACCTAAGTTTATCTTTTTTTTTTTTAAAATATTTTATTGTGTTTTAGGTGAAAGTATACTCAATGAATTAGGTTCCTATTTATCAGTTTTTACACAAATTATTCTGTGACATTGGTTATAATTTTCACAATGTGTCAACAGTCTCATTATTTCCATTCTGTTTGTTCTGTTTCCATTGATCTTAGCTTCCCTGCCCCTCTTTGCCTTGTCATCTTTGTTGTTGTGTAAATGTTGACTGGTTTTATACAGTTGATTGTTTAAAGGAGCACATTACTCACTGGTGATATTGTTAATCTTATAAGCCAATCTATTATGTGTGTGAAAGGTGACCTCTGGGAGTAGGTTCATTTCCAAGTTCAGAAGTTATTTTAGGGTGATAGTCTTGGGGCTTCCTCTAGTCTGGCCTATTTTAGGAATTTGAATTTTGCTCTGTATTTTTTTCCATTCTATAGGGGACCTTCTGTTGTGTCCCTGGTCAGAATTATCAGCGGTAGTAGCTGAGCACCATCTAGTTCTTCTAGTCTCAGGCTAGAAGAGGCCATAGTTTATGCGGGCTATTAGTCCTGTGGACTAGCTGCTTCTTTGAGTCTTTGGTTTCCTTCATTCTCTTTTGCTCTAAATGAGTAGAAAGCAATAGCTGTATCTTAGACAGCCACTTGTAAGCTCTTAAGATCCCAGATGGTATTCATCAAACTAGGATGTAGAACATTTTATGCTAATTAACTGAGTTGTCCCATGAGACTATGGTTAAGTTTCTCTTCTTTTAAAGCTATGTTTTTTTAGTCAATATATTATCAGTAGACTTAATGAGACATCTGCAAACTGCTCATAGAGATTACAGACACTGTATAATATACTTCACCAGCCTAAACCAGATGTGATTAAGCGGGAGGTAAGTAATACCTAATGGTCATATATTGTGGATCAGATTGACTACATTATTTCTAGCCATCACTGACATGTAGCCCTTCTGAAAAATTACTTCCCCATTTAATAGCTCTTTTCTCAAAACTCCTGCCTATTGATTCATCTCCTACAAAGTTTTAGTACTTACTGAAAATTAGAATTTAATTGGAAAGGATTCACATAAACAGATGTAATTAGGAAAATTAGTTACAATATTTATTTGTATTTTATTCATTCAAGTCAGAAGAAATTTTCATTTTCATAACTTAGCAATATTTAGTAGGAAATTAAGATAATTTATCAAAAAAATAACATCTTGCTATGAGGTTGGTAGTGCCTAAGGCATTTGACTATAACCAGAAGGCTGGCGGTTCAAACCCTCTTCTTAGAAGGACAATTGGGCAATCTACTTACGTAGTGATACCGCCTCGGAAACCCAAGGAGGGGTCACTATGAGTCGGATTTGACTTGACGACAGTGAGTGGGACTACTAAAACTGGCTACTATATACCTCTGTTTCTCAATTTTCTTTTAAAACTGCAAGATCAAAATGTTCCCTGGCTATATTAAAAGCCTGTATCAATAAAATTTCTTATGGGAACCTCTACACAGTAAGCAGAGATTGTAATTGGAAAAATGGAGATAAGCTATTTATGATCCTGCAGATCGCCCAGAAGTTTGTAGGCATATAGATATATATATATTTTTTTACTCTTCTTTCCATCTTATTAATCTCTAATGGATGAAATAAAGGCTGTACTTTATATCATACTCATGAGAACTCACTGCCATTGAGTTGATTTGATTCGACTCATAGCAACCCCTCTTTGGGTTTCTGAGGTGGTATCTCTACGGAAGTAGATTGCCCAATCTTCCTTCCGAGGAGTGGCTGGTGGTTTTGAACCTCCAGTCTTCTGGTTAGCAGTCAAATGCCTGACGTACTGTGCCACTACAGATTTCATTTTATATCATGGTGTTCTTAAATGTTAATCATAGAGAATATAAAAACTTTATCTTAGATCTCCATGAATTAAAAAAAGTATATATATATGTGTGTGTGTGTATATATATATATATATATAGTTACTTTTGTCATAAAATAAATGGTCTTAATGGAATTTTTCTTTCCTGTTTCTTCTTAGTATATATTCGATAGACCATATAGCAGAACATTGGAAGCTGAGGCTGACGAAATTGGACTACAGCTTGCTGCAAAGGTAAAGTGCTCAATAGTTGAGGATACACAGTGTCCTTTATTTTACATAGTAAGTTAAAGATAAATTTGTGTTGCTTTGATGTTTGACATGGGTAGAGAATGAGGTGGTCTGTATTAACCCTTTATACAATTTTCTTTAATCTGTAGAAGTTTGAAGATACTGTATTTTGAAAGAATGCATGACTAAAAATAATCATTTAGTTCCTTTCTATATATGAGGCTGTATTGTGCTTTAGATCAAAAGCATAAATTTATAGTAATTCTCAGGTTATATTACAATGTCTTAATCTTTCACTGGAGAATAGTTTTTTTTTTTTTAATTGTGATTTGGTTGAAAGTTTACAGAGCAAATTTGTTTTTGGTTCAACAATCCATACACATTCTGTTTTGTGACATTGACTGTAATCCCTACACTATAATAAACATTCTTTCCACTTCCTCCCTGTGCCAACCCCTTCCCTTCATTCTTCCTTCACATCCCCTCCCACCTTCTTAGCTCTGTCCCGGCACTGTGCTGTCCTCTTGATCTCATAGGCTTGACTCTTGTAATGAGTGCGTACCTTCCTGAGGCCTGTCGTTGGGCTGCCAGTTGAGTCACAGGGGTTAAGATCAGTTCCTAACTTGAAGGGTGTCTAAGGCCATAGTCTTGGGGGTCCCACCAGTCTTCACCAAACTAGTAAGATGTGTTTTTTATGATTTTCAGTTTTATTCCACATTTTTTCCTACTCTTTCTGGGTTCTCTTATTGTGATCTCTTTCAGAGTGGTCACCAGTGGTAGCTGGGCACCATCTAGTTCTTCTTTGGGTCTCAGGGTCGTGGAGGCTAGGATTCATGTGCTCCATTGTTTCTTACATCTTTGATTTTCATCACTCTTTGTTCCAGATGGGGAGCAACCAATAATTGCACCTTAGATGGCTGCTCTCCAACTTTTAACACCCCTATCACTACTCACCAAAGTAGGATGTAGAACATTGTCCTTGTGGACTGTGTTATGACAGTTGACCTTAGTGTCCATTGAGACTGTAGTTCTGAGTCCCCATACCGAGCAACTCATTCCATCAAGGTGTTTGGTTATTATGACTAAAATGTTTTCATAACCTTATCCCCTGTGTGCTCTCCTACATTCATGGATATATTTGTAGCACATACAAATACATATGTAGGGATAGCCTCTGTCAAATCTCTCTCTCTATATATATTCATGGCTATAGTCCCATTTGCCTTCTACCCCTGTTCACATTGAGCATTTGTCCATGCATCTGCTTGTAAATTATTATTATTACTATTATTGCAGGATTGTATAGTTTTCACCTTCGTTGCCTTTAACTTTTGTGCTTCTCCCTGTGTCTCACACTGCCTTGATCGTTTTGTGCTGACCTCCTTCTTCTTATACATTGTTTTTCCCTTCCCCCAAGTTAATATGAATCTACCCTCTAGTTAGTGATTTATCCTCCCTTCACTTCCCACCCCTTTAAAGAACAATTCTTTCTTTGTATAAACCTTTCCTTAACTTTTTACCATAGTGGTCTTAAGCAATAAATGTCCTTTTGTGATTGACTAATTTCACTCAACATAATGTCCTCTAGGGTCATCCATGTTATGAGGCGTTTTGCAGATTCATCATTATTCTCTAATGTTGTTTAGTATCCCATTGGCAGCTCTGGTAGCATAGTACCTAAAGCATTTGACTGCTAACCAGAAGGCTGGCAGTTCAAACACACCAGCCACTCCTTGGAAGGAAGACTGAGCAATCTGCTTTCATGGAGATACCACGTTGGAAACCCAAGTAGGGGTTGCTATGAGTCGAATCGACTTGATGACAGTGAGTTTATTTATTTATTTATTTATTTTAGTATCCCATTATATCTGTGTACCATAGTTTATCTGTTCATCTGTTGATGGAGATTTAGGTTGTGTCTATCTTTTTGCTATTGTGAATAATGCTGCAGTGAACATAGATATGCATATATCTGTTCATGCCATGGTTCTTATTTCTTTAGGATATATACCTAGTAGTGGGATTGCTGTATCATACGGTATTTCTATTTCCAACTTCTGAAGGAAGTACCATACTGCTTTCCACAGTGGTTGTACCATTTTACAGTCCCACCAACAGAGTATAAGTGTTCCAGTCTTTTCACACCTTTGCTAGCATTTTGTTGTTTTCTGTTACTTTGAACTTTGCTATGGTGAGATGATACCTTTTTTTGCATATATATATTATTAATTGTTGTTGTTGTTGTTGTTGTTGTTATGTGCCGTCGAGTCGGCCCTGACTCATAGCGACCCCTCCTTGGGTTTCTGAGGCAGTATCACTACGGAAGTAGGATTGCCCAACCTTCCTTCCGAGGAGTGGCTGGTGGGTTTGAACCACCAGCCGTCTGGTTAGCAGGCAAGTGTCTTAGCCACTATGCTACCAGAGCTCCCATATTATTAATTACAAACATAAAATATATAAATTTAAAAAATATAGGTATGTAATCCCCTCTTCCAGTTTTTAACCTGTGCTCTCTGGAAAGCTAATCCTATCTTATTTCACTCTTCTCTTCTGCTTCTTTGATCTAAGGAGATTTTTTGAGTAAATAAGATAGAGGATGTTTTTCCCTACTTGGAGAAAGTTGGCTGAACAAACTGAGTTTTCTCTGCTTAATAAATGGTGGGGGTTGTTAGTTGCTCTCAGGTTGGCTCTGACTCAGGATGACCCCATGTATAAAAGAATGGAACATTGCCTGATTCTGTGTCATCTTCACAGTCATTGGTACGTGTAAAAATGGTGGAGGCATCTGACCTCTGTCTTCATGAGGGGAAGAGAGAATCACCTTGAGCATCAGCCAAAAGCTGCTTCCTATGAGATGAAAGTCAGATATACCTCCTCTCTCTAACTTTTTTTTTTAAAAAACAAACAAAAAACAATTCTGACACCAGTCATCCTTCCCATTGCACTCTCTACTGCTCTGCTGGGTTTGATAATTCATTTAATTGGACACATAGAATTCACAGACAATACTCATGATTGTGGGGCTTATTAGGGAAGTAACAAGTTGTGTAATTCAGGATCAGAAACAACTCAGGATACAGTTCTATGGTCAGGACAGCTTCTTGGCTGTGCTCACAGGCAGACTTCTCCATCACCCTTGGCCTCTTGGCCTTTTGGGCCTCTTGGGCTGGCCCGGCTTCTGCCCTGCTCAGGCGAGTGTTACAAAGCTCCTTAGCTCTACCAGTAAGAGCCCAGAGGTACCCTACTCTGCTAGTAATCCTTGGCCTGAAGGGGCTCAGCTCTTTAGCTTTGTGGGTTGGCAAGCCTAGCTCTGCCAAGTGCCTGAAGGCACCACTCTGCCAACAAATCTGCCTGAAGATGTTTAGCTTTCTCACTCTGTCACTCCGTCATCTGGGAAACCCACTGTGCTGTCTCCTGTTGGTCTCCTGGTTCTGCTGCCTCTGCTGCTGCCATTTCTCTGCCACTGCTTCTCGCTGTCTCCAGTGTTAAAACTCTCTCTTTCTGTCTCCTGGTCTAGGAAGGTCTTGGTGCATGGATCCTTGGTTTAAATGACATAATCTACTCGTAGTTCCTTTCTTTCTTTTTTTTTTTTATGGAAGCGAGGTTCCCTCTTGCTCTTTTTCAAGACTAGTGGGATGGCAAAACTGACCAGTTCTCTTGTTAGGGTTCCATATACCTTATTTGCATGGTTCTACTTCCACATGGGTTCAGTTCACCTTATTTAGATTCTTAGCAGGCATTCTAATTCCCTTAGTGGGCCACAAACACTGTATTTGCACAGTCTTACTCAATTATTAGGAGCTCTGGTAGCATAGTGCCTAAGGCACTTGACTGCTAACCAGAAGGCTGGTGGTTCAAACCCACTAGCCACTCCTCACAAGGAAGATGGGGCAATCTACTTCCATAGTGATACTGCCTTGGAAACTCAAGGAGGGGTCGCTATGAGTTGGGTCTGACTCGACGGCACATAACAACAACTCAGTCATTGTGTGGGAGTCACAGTTTTAAGTGCCTTCCAACCTACCTCCAGCACTATGTTGGACGGTATTCTATTGTGATCTGTAGAATTTTTGTTGACTATTTTTGGCAGTAGATTCCCAGCCCTTTCTTCCTAGTCTTAGTCTGCAAGCTACACTGAAACCTTTCCCATGGGTCATCCTGTTGGTATTTGAAATACAGTACAGAGCTTTCAGCATCATAGCAACACACATTCCACCAAGTATGACAAACTGACAGACAAAAATATATGGAAAATTATATGGAAAAATAAATAGTAGAACAGAATTATTACTGCATATCTCAGATTATTTTTGACCCATCAGGGGCTTTTTTTTTTGGCTATTCTGAGAGAGCTGCTCTGAGTCGTTACTCTAATTTTAGTTGGCTTGGTTCATGTCTACTTAACAGGCTACTTTATACCTCGCTGTATATTTTAATCACCAGTGATAACTGAATATTATTAACAGAATTTAACATTACAAGTAAAATTGAATTTTTATATGCAGATGAAAACAGTGCTATTTCACATATTGAATACAAAATCTTTTATTTGATTCTTTGTTAAGTTCTTAGTAATTATTAAAATTATTAGAAATCATTCTTATTTGAACTTCTCATGAGTTTTATGATTTTAATTTTGTTAAATAAAATTTTGCTCACAAAAGCAAAACCAGTTTTCTGAATGCTACATAAACGGGATTAGGTGAATTATCGGACTGTTTATATTAAGAAGTTCCCAAATACTGGGCTATGATGAAGAGTTTCCTAATTTTAATGTGTTAACAGTGTATCAGAATTGTTCTTTTTAATGATTGCTTAATATGTCTGGTTAAGAAATCTTTGCCTGTCTCAGTAAGTTGTTAATAATTTATTTCTGAGCGGCTTCATTGTTTTAGTCCTTTTTTATTTATAATATTGAAAATAATTTTTTTTTTCATTGACCAAGCACTGTTTTTTGAAAAGTCATCTTTTCTGCACCACATTTCAGTGTCATTTTATCCTAA